ACCACTAAGCTGTATAGATAAACTATCACAGAACAGAACACTGTCTTTCTTTGATCTGAATATTAGACTTTTATTAGTTCTTCCTTGAGACTAATAAAAGTTTTTTATTATTTCAAAGCTCGAGAGCATTGAAAGTCATTTAAAGGTCTTCTTATAATCTAGAAGCATAACTTTTTATTACAAACTTGAAAATAAAAATTGCCCAACATTCTATAACATAATGTATCCTGTCCCTTCTTCCTCATCCCTTTCCTTTTGCATTTCCTTGTGAAATTAGAACAATTGTTTCTGGGAGGAGCAAAAGATTCCAAGATCCACATTCTGAAATCAGAACCTGGTATTTTAAATCCAAAATAAGGCAATCCAGGTGGCACAGCGTCTTCAATCAGCCGGGGTTTTCACTAGTCAATGCTGTTATCTAGATAAATGACTCAGCCAAAAGCTAGGATGAAGTCATCTTTCTGCATTTCATTCTTACAGATTACAATGCCTTTTGCAGATTGGTAAATTTTCCATGATGCATATAGAAACAACACACTCTGGAAGGTTTTCTACTGCTCCAATTTCAGAAACACCCCTACCTCATTTGCTTTCTATTTATTGACTGAATTAAAAATATGCATGCCTGCTATGTAGTGGTTATCATAACCAAGAGATAAAAGGCACTTTTTGAGCAACTGAAAAGAATTAAAGGGGTAAATGATCCTGATCTCAATGATGTGGAAGGATTGGAACATTTGTTCACACAGTAGAGTGAACCTACAGGACCTAACTTTCTTTTAAGCTGATGCAGAATTAAATCTGGGATTGGAATTTAGCCCTAAATTGTTATAATCTAAAATTTCTTTTAATGCACAGACCAGTCTGTGTTAAGATTTCCCCTTTCTTCCTCTCATCACTATGAAAGGAGAGTGGGTAAACGACTCAGAGACTGAGGGAGGGAGAGCTGACTTGATTCAAAATGTCAGTTCTGGCATCAACTGAACTCAAGTAGGGTTCCCTACCTGATTAGCTAGAACAGATAACAATCAGTGAGCATGGATGTTTCCTCTTCAGGTGAGAAGCTTGAAATGAGAGTCTACTTCTGAGGAGACTTCAAGTCCCCATATAGGACGTATATTCTTAATGGAAGATGAGCTCTTACCTTGTTTAATTTGGTCTTTTAGCATGCCGTCCCAAGACTGTTTCTTGTCATTAACTAGTAGCTCAGCAGGTGAGCTCGCCACTGCTATGCACCTCCTCTAGAATGCATCTTCATTTTTCCATTATTTTTAGAGTTAAATTACAAGCCCAGCAGGGAAACAACTACATTTAACTGATTTTCTTATTACCTAACATTTCTGTTAGTATATTTGCATTTTTACCTCTTTTAGTTTTCATGTTCCCAACATAATTGAAAATATTACCGCAATTATTCAAAATAAATAGCAATAACTATGGCCTACTTAGTAGGCATGACCTCTTATTTGGTGGGCTGGAATCTGAGCAAGGATCAGAGAAAACTGGGAAAGGAAGCTCAGAAGTAGCAAAGTTAATGCAAATAACAGATTCATGATTGGGGAGATCTGACTTTGGTCCTTGAATTTGATGTGATCTTGGGCAAGACCCCTGAGCCCTCTGGAATTCTGTAAAACTGTCAGTTACATAATCCTAAGTACTTTAGAATTCTGATCTTCGGCTGTATAAGTAAGAGAAATTTAGTTCCAGGACAGTTTTGAGAGAGGCCAAGCCCAAAATTTTACCCAGACTGAATATTGAAATTATCCCATTCTCATTCTACTTCTCAAACGACATGGTTGTTTGTAGCTCTCTTGTCATTTTCGGTCCTGGCACATACATCTGTTTTTCTTTGGTAGTGCCCAATCTACCTTAATATCTTATTATGCCTGTCTTTTTCTTCTTGTACGTCATTGTTTCTGCATTCACAGATCCTCACTCCTCCTATAGACCACACTTCCATACTTCTTTCTTTGTGATAAAATCTCTTAAAAATTAAGGAAGGGGTGCCACAGTGATGCTACTGGCACTTTTCCTTAACATCCAATAAGGACAATACATTTCCAGTGTCACACCCCTTAATTTGTATTTTCTTGGGTACGAATGTCTATTTTCATAGGTACTTGCATTTTAAAAGCTAGCTTAATGGCTGTCCAAGCCTAGCAACAACACAAAGATTATGTTCTCTCCTCTACTACTGGTACCTTCTTTTTTACACTCTGTCTTCTAACTTGACTGTATTGTCTTTTCACTTTCCATTTCATCTCCCTTGAGATAGCCTACCTCAACTTTCCAAATTCTGTACTCATTCGTCCCTCTTAAGTGAAATGCTGCACACATATATCCTTCTACCTGTGTTCTTGAAGCTCCTTTGCAATGCCAAGAGATAGAGCTAGCTCCAGGCGGAGCTGCAATTACCTTTCTTTGTCCTCTTGTTCTCCACTCAGAATCACCCTGTTTTCCCCTTTTGCCGCCACCAGCAACACAGCTCTCTCTTGCCCTCCCGATGATCATAATAGATCCAGGTGTACTCTATATTTCCCTAAATTCTGGTTTTTTGGGGGTTTTTTTTAATGTTATTTCTTACAGTCAAGACTTTTCAGGGCCTGGGAGTTGTTTTCTTAAAGTGTATTTCAAATCTGAATCATCCCCATATTCCCAAGTGATCAATAGCTCAAGTATTTCTCTGCCCTAGGAAAAGTACAATCATCAAGGGCTTTTAAGGACCATGAACTATGAGAATAGTATACGATATCACCTATAAAATAGTTTTTATCATGGGAAACTATGTTATCATGGTGAAAATATGTTTAGCATATCTGACTTGCATCTTCTCTAAGGATGCCACCAACTCCATCAGAAACTATACAGAGGCAAATCCTGAAGTATCAACATGTATTTAGTACTGTGCAGAAGAGAAAGAAACTTGTTGGCATTTCTAAGGATAAAAGTTTTCATAGCCAGGAATGGTAGCATATTTTCTTAATGTCACTTTGAGGGAGGAGGAGGCAAGAGGACGGCAAGTTCAAAGCTAGCCTGGGCTACATAGGAAAGCCTTGAATCAAAATAAATTAAAATTTCTCAAGAAAAAATTATTCAGTTGAAATTTTGGTGGTTTTCCTTTCATGGGGAGACTTGGTGATTGATTTTTAGAAGTTATAAGGAAATCATGTAACCTTAGAATTCAGTTTATCAACAATATACAAGTTCTAATTCTCTTTTTAAATTTCTTTTTTAAAAATTTTTATTGAATTTTTGTGTATTTCATATAGGACAGCTCAATCTATCTTAATCATCTTTATAGCCCTGTCCCCCCCAACTGGCTCCTTCCCATAGCCCCCCACAATGGAATTCATACATATTCTGCCATTTGTGTTAAGGCCTATTGTGTCAAGTTAGTGTCCCTAGACATCCCTTGGTGCAAGTTCATCTACTGAGGCATAGTCAGCCTGACAAGAGTCCCGCACTTTAGAAAGATCAGTTCTTCCTCACCCAGCAGTAATCAGTTGCCAATATTTCTTCAGCTAAGATTGGGGTCTGCTGTCCATTTCCCCAGTTCTATGCTGGGTTTCTGTCTGCTTGAGTTTGCATGGGTCCTGTGCATACTGACACCATTGTTGTCGGTTCTTTCTAACTATTGAATTTTTATCACCTCCAAACTTGTGTAAATTTCTTCCTCTCTACAAAACTCTGTTCTTCTGGATTTCCTTTCATCATCAATCTGAATAAAATATGACACTCACATTACTCCAAATCTCTCAGTAATATATAGTCATTTAATAAGGAAATTGGATATTTATGTCAATGTTTAGGTCTTCCCACATTATGAGTTAGATTTGGCAGACCTTTGTTCATTTTGCAAGTGGGAAAACCAGAACTCAGGTACTAGATGCTGTGAAAGTTATGGGAGGAAGCCTCCTCTCATGCTTGGGATGTCCAGGACTAGTTCTCAGCTAAATGCTACCCAGAATCACCCATATGAGAAGTATGGAGTTTTTCCTCTGTGTTTGTTTTCATAGTTAACAAAAAATGTTAATGATCTTATCATTTTATGTCTATCACACCAATGCAATGATGTGATGCTTTATGAATTTAAATCCTGCCCATCAAATTCATGAGGAGGAGTAAGCATCTAACCAATACCTTCTCTTAATATGTACATTAGAACAGTGGGATTTCAGACACAGTGAGCAAGTGGAGTGACATAAGGTGCCAAGATAAAATACTGGGATTTATGACGCATTTATTTGTAAATCTAACTGAAGTTGGAATGACTACTCTAAAATGAAATGGACTAAATGTGGTTTGGGATTTTCTTAGTTTTCAAACATCCTTCTGAATACGACAATTCATAAAAACCAGTTCATCCCTCAGTCCCCCTGAGCTCTCTCTGAGGAGGATATGAATAGCTCCCTTTGTAATTTATAAAACAAGCATTAATATGAGTACCAAAA